TGGTTGTGCCAAGACAACCACTTGTGGGGCCGCTCTGGTGAACCTGAGCACTCAACTGCTCACTGCTTTAGAGGGGGAAAATGGGAATTACATTAAACCGGGTGCTGCAGCAATGAAAACAAATGGTGGGAAACGAGAAGAACAAGCACAGCAATTGCTCAAAGAAAAAGCCATAAGTATCATGGTCTTCAAGACTGTGATTTAACCTAATTAGGTTAATTARCTAGAAAATTTGAGGAAAAAAGGTAGCTGGCACTTAGGAGAGAAAGAGTGGAACAGAGGACTGCTGGGAGGAACATGAATAACCCATCATCAGTATCTGCAGAACAGGGAGTAACACCATAAATAGAAAGATGTGAAAATTTCTCAGGGAGCTGATTGACAAGCAACTGTGTTCACCCAAATTGAATTACAAATTAAATACACGGAAAAGCCATCTCTTCTATCGCATAGCCACCACAGGAAGTGAAATCAGCAATTATGTATGGAGTAAGCAGCTAATGAACTCTACCAGTCTTCACATTTGAACAAAACGAAAGATGACACCATTTCCCAGGAACACCACAATAAAAACTCATGTTATTAGTAGAAAGATTCTCACTGGAAGTTAAATTTGCTGAGCTCCACAGTCAAGGTCTAAAGCTGCTGATATGTTTAAACCCTTACATCATCTTTGCACCACTCATATGAAATCTGAACGCTGAAATAGTTCTCCTATACCCGTGTACAATTTGAACTGCTAAAAAAGATGATGACCTTAGTGAAGTATAAAGGAAGTGTCTGAATAACATTCTCAACACACATAAGTTTACACAGGAAACCCTGAATAGTACAAAAACTTTGAAATTTATTTTTGAAGTTTCATTTTGCGGAGAGCAAAGCATAGCAGCAAAAGTTATTTAGAAAATTAAATTCATATCAGAAGAGGGACTTTGAAAGGAAGCTGCTTTTACTACTTCCAGTTATAGGAAAACAGTAACTCACCTACCACAGTTGTGCACTGTTGCAATGTTACTGTTACAAAACTGGAATCAAAACACTTCAAATTACTCGGAAAGGATTATTCAAAGAGACAGAGCACACAGAACAAGCAAGCAGAAATAATGCCTTGAGAGCAGAGCATCCTTGTGAGCAGCCCAGAGATCCAYGGAAGGACACGTCCTCCTAGAGCTTTCATCCATCGCCAGCAGCTAACGCACGTTGTGTTAGGAACCAGCTCTCCCTCTCCTGCTACTCCACAGCCTGAGCCATATTATATTTTAGAAAGATCAGAAGGAAGCTGCCTTTCCCTAAGAGGGCTTACAAGGCCCAAAATTGCACGGGATATATTAATTCTCTTAACATTTTAGGAAAATGGGGAGATGTGTCTTCCTGAAGCTGGAAAAATGGTCCAGTGAGTTGGGACATGAGCCTAGGTGTGGGAATAAATAGCTGCAAATACATTATGTCTTGGGCAAGTCACAAAATCAGAATTCAAAAGCTTTAGACAGCTSGGCACACAGCATTTCGCTCAGACTTCAGCCATAAAATACACAAAATCACACTGTGGTAGCCACAAGGGAAAAGTAACACATTAAAAATTGAGAAGTGACTTGGGAGCAAAGTGATCCTTGTCATTCCTTCTGGTTCACCTGAGACACATCTACCCTAATAAAGGAAAAACGTGATGCAAAAGCAGTTGAAATTAGCAGGAACCATCATAAGTTAAAATACCATAGAAAAATATTCTTACAGTAAAAATAGAAAAATATTCTTACAGTATAACTAACATTCTTGGAAAAGTATTTCATMGCTGCCATTTTATGGTGTTTATAGATCCTGTAGGACTTTGAATTGCCCTCATAAACCCAAACCCACCTTGTAAATAAACTACATTTTATACTATTTCCCTTCTGCCTCCCCTATTTCTTTCCCTTTTAATGACAAATAGAGAAAGTAAAAGAGATCAACCAAGAAACACCCACAAGTCTTGACTTCCCTCAACTTCTATTTGCTCTGCATAACCTTCAGAGCCTCGCTGAGAGCCAGGCTGTCTGTCTTTAGTGACAACAGCTGAAATCTCCTCTAGGGGAGTTTCAAATCAGCAAGACCTGCTCTGGTATAAGGTGCTCTCTGCTTCGAGCTGTATAAACCTGGGCTTGTCACTCAGCTGGAGCTCGTTAAGGCCCCCTTGATTGCTTTCACAATGCACCCTGACCTGCTTAACTCCATTAACCTACGGCAGCTTCAAGTTATTACTGTGCTCACTGTCCTCATCACTAAAGGATAATAAAGACATAACAGCATGTTATTCTTTTAAAAGTTGCCATTAAATGAGTAGAGAAGGATGTCATTGATCTCAAACTAGGTTTCAAACTCCTTGTGCCTCAGCTAACACTAACATTGAAGGGAGAGCTTGCATTTGAAAACTGAAAACTTCACGAGTTCCAAAATTTGGAAAAGATCAATTAAGTGTGTAGTTTGAAGCATTTCTAAAGGAAACCAAGAGCCACAGAGGGGAGAGACTAAATGGCAGAAGGGACAGCTGGAACCCAACACAACAGTCTTTCCTTCCTAACCCAAGGTTGCCCCTAAAAACATAAAAATAAAATAAAAAATAAAAAAACAAAAAAAGACAGAAACACTTCATTTTGCCTAGAAGTAAAACAGCATTCCTTACAACCCAAGGCACTCCAAAGTTCATTTTATGATTAAGAAATTGCAGATGTCTACAAGGAAGACTCTGGCTAGAAGCACAGTGTCATTTGCATTTCTGCTGAATTTGCAGCTCTCTGGGAAGAGTCCTGGTCTGAACATCAATAAATCTCCATGCAAAAAAATGCAGTTGTGCCTGGGGTAGAAAACACATTCCCTTCTTTCTAAGGAAAGTTAAAAGCAGCAGCAGAATTAAACAGACTAAAGTACAGGACTATTATAGCTAGGTGACACAGTAGTTTGATATTAACCATATTAAATATCAGCCAGTCGTGCCAGATTTGATATGTGCAATTTAAACTAAGTGTGAGTCATTGCTGTATGCTTGGATGCCATGAACTTGGATTTGGCCACACCAAATAAAGCACAGAGCTYGAAGTGACCAACTGAAAAACGTATTGGGAAAAGTGATCTCGCTCTGTAAAAATTCTCTGCTCCCAGAGCCAGCCGGGAYAGAGCTGAGTCATGAGTGAGAACGAGGAGGAAGCTGCTCTGCAGAACAACACAGCTACGTATGAAGCAAAACGGGAAAAATGCAGTTGAACAAATAAATAAATCGGTGCAAATTCTTTGCAAAGAAAGCAGAAAAGCTACATCTTTTTAAATAGCTACCAAGAATACACACGGAAATCTGGATAATTTTAGAAGTATGTTGAGGGGTACAAATACTATTTAGTGTACTTTATTTTCCTTATATTCATAGAAGCTTGTGACTGTTGCATGCAATCCAAAGATGTGAGACATTATTTTAAGTCCTTTCATATCCTAGAAGAGCGCCACTGTCCACAAAGCTKTGTCTGCTATTTTAATAGAAATTTTCCGTTTCAGAAAATACCAAGAAACTGGCAAACACTTCCCCTTCTCTTTTTCTAAGAGATAAGTTTCAGCTGCAGCTGGATATAAGTAATAACCAGTAGGAGTTTGGCCATAAAGTGAATCCTTTTATTACTGAACCACTTGTCTAGATTGTGCCATACGTTCCGAACGAGCCAGCAAGGCGAGAGAGGCAGTGCCAGCTCTCCAGCGTGAGCACGGCTGCTGCAAGCCTAGAGGGAACACAGGGATAAACACCGTCTTTGCAGCAAGGACTGCGAGGGCCGGCAGCCCGCGCGCTGCACAGCAGCTCTGCGAGCCCCGGCATGCCGCACGCACGAGGCTGCTGATACAAAGAGCAGAGCTCAGGGCTAGCAGACAKGGTTAGGGCAGACCCAGCCACCCGGAGCACTGCTGGCCCTCGCTCGGAAGGGATMCGTCACGGCCAGGAGGAGCGGGGAAGCGCGTGGAGGAAGCTTAATTGAGCACAAGTTTCTACCCCTTGTTTTTAATTAATTCCACAGACTAACTTAAAGAATCATTTCCCCACCACGACATGTGGCTCATGCTCACACACACTCTGTAAGCTTGAAGCACAGGGATGCATGTGTACCCCTGGGGATACCCACTGGAARCTGCTTCCACTTCTTGTGCTCAAGCCTCTCTCAGTCGCTCAGCATTGCTCAAGAACAAACTAGTACTTTTAATGTACATCACTGCCTGCACTTACAGGGTTTGTACTTTACTGCCAGCAGGCGGGACACGATTCAAATAGTCTATAGCCACACAGCTGAACACAGGTGTATTTTAATGTTGAGGGCAGCGTTATGTTAATCCAGTGGTGCTCCCCGAGTTCGCACATGCCAGACATCTTTGTTGTGCTGTTCAGTAGTTTTTCTATATGTGACTAGTCTCCAGGTCTGGTAATTTAATGCTATTCTTGGGAGGACTAAGTTTTGCAGTATCCCAGTCACTGAATATGTATCCACCTTTCCTGCCACAACACAGCTTACAGGGCCATACAAGGAGCTGAGCACGGGGAGCCTGGAGCAGCCCCAGGGCAGCTCATGGGCTGCCAGAGGAGCTCACGGGACTGCCTCCTCACCAGGATATCCCGGGAGCATCCCCAGGCACGAGGTTGCTGCAGAGGGCACAGCCAGTGGTGCCACAGCCCCAGCACAGCTCCCTTGGAGCACCGGCCCTCGCCCTCCGCTTGAACCCCTTACCACGTCACTTAGCGAACACGCTTCATCTCCAGGTTTTTCCCCCGGCAGTATCTGACCTTTCAAGGCTTCTTCATGGGCAGAGAGGATGAAAGGGGATGAAGAGCTTTGTTTAAAACCAGCCTGCAGCTCCAAACTGCACAAGCCCCACGCGTGCGGTTACAGCGTCAGCAGCACCCGGCGTTCCAGCCGGTCCTGCCGTGGGGAACAGGCGGCATCGACGTCCCGGCCGCTGCAGGGCACTCGGCTCCTCCGTGGGCATCCGGGGGCAACTGCAACTCTCCATTTCTTCCTTTTCCTTCGGAAAGTCTCCTACGTGAAACAGTGCTTCAACTCTGCTAAGGAAATTAAAACATCATTCAAAGGACAAAAACTGTTGCAACTATACACCACCAGTGACTATTTTGTCCTCTGAGCATGACAATTTCAGATCCATTTCTATGAATTGGGAAAACGGAATTATAGCTATTCAGAGAGCACAACTGTATGAAACCACCCAATGAGCCCCGTTACACAGAAAGCATATGGGGGAAATTAATAGCAAGTGACAAAAWCTTGTTTTTCCCTTATGAAAGTTAGAAAAGGGCACTGGAATTTTTATGTCTCATTGAAAAAAAAAATAAAAAGAAGCCAGTTCTCTTTATGCARTCAGGGCAGCTGTAGAGGCAGGACAAATGGAACCAGCAGGAACAACTTAGCCCTGRGAAAGCCTCGCTGCAGTTATCGCTGCGTCACAGCGCGAGCTGCGTAGGAGCAGCTTGGTAAAACCAGAGACAAAAGGGGCCTGGGAGGGGGGTGGCGCTGACCTGCAGATGTTTTCCCCACTTTGTGGATGTGGTGACTAAGGGTTGGAAAGCTGACAAGTTTTCACAGGCCTGGCTGAGCCCAGCCCCTGACTCAGAATTAAATGGGACATAAGGCTTTGGCTGCCTGAGATCACTAAGCATGAGCAAAAAATTAGAATTACCACCACTATTTAGATTAGTGTTAAAAAGGGGGAAAAAAAAAAAAAAGCACCCGTTCCAGTGTTTTGTTTTTTTGGCACTGGTGGTCATTATTGTGAGCAAATGAAAATTAAAAAGCAAGAAAACYAACCTGGGAGTCTTTCCAGCCTGGACAATAAACGGTATTAAATTCTGCATTTCCCAAATTGAAAATAAATAAGTTTTATTTATATCAGTGTGTTTATCATAGATAATGCTCAGTTTTTGTAAACTAGCATTATCATAAGCTGCGCATTTCATATTTATTTGCATTCCTAACCTTTCCATTTCCCACTGCAGCCATGCTAGGATGTACACAATCTATATATGCATCTATTTAGATGATGGAGAGATCCATACTACAGCTAACCACATTTTTTTTTTTTTCCTATTAATCACCTTGCCCTACACTACTGTTGAGATCAAAGAGTRTTTATTCTACTTCTTCCTTCAAGACAGAGCAAGGTGTCACCAGCCTGGTGAGGAGACAGCTACAGACTATGATCTAAATTGAACATTTGCATTCATAAATATTGTGCAACAATTAAATAAATAAATCAGCTAAGGTTCCCTATTCCCTCTTTGTCCACAGAGGATCTTAAAAAAGGGTCCATTTACCTTAGCAGAGCTATAAAATTCTCCTCCCTGCCATTCCACACACTGCAAGTTAACTATATTTTCATCTTCAAATAAATAAATGATCTCAGCCTGTTCTACATTAACTGAAACAAAAAGAAAAGCTTAAATTATTTATTGTAATCTTAGATTTCAATTTTTCAGAAAAAGTGATTTTTGTATCCAAGAGTTATCCCCACTGACCTCAAAAATAAGCAGGATGAAGCTAATATATCATGTTTCACTTAAATGAACACGTTCATACACATGTGAAGAGTTTCTACAAATACTCAGTCACTAGAATTGACTAGGAAGTCTTTTATAAAGAGTGGTCCCCAAATAATTAAAAGTGAAAGGTGAAAACCTATACTCACAGTTCTGAGAACTATGATAAATACACAAAAACACATTTCTGGAATCAATAAGAGGAAAGTCTGGTTTGGAAAATGAGGAATCATGATCCATTCAAAGTGTTATGCTAGTAACCCAGAGGAAATACATGCAACTTCTTGGCTAAGCTTTGGCCAATAGTAGAAGACTGGAATGGTTATGGACATGCGAGATTTCAAGCCTAAATTCAATAAGAGAAAAAAAGAGAAAAAGTAGAAGAAATGGTTGAGAGCACACACAGGCATGTAGGTCACATCAATATTGATTAACCTTCATCAAATATTCATATTCTCTTGCATTTCAGGCGAGGATTGATTATAATAAGGAATAAGGACCTTTCTCCCCCCTCTGTTTAGTTTCTCTTGCTAATGCCTCACTTCTACGAGGCTTCCCAGGTTCCACACTCCCCGTGACCCACACACATTTGTGCACATCACCAGTTTGCACAATAAGCTGCAGAAAGCTTTATGGTGGCAGCATAAAATTCATCCTATTACTAGAACATTGTGCATTTACCAGCAAAGCTCAGCTTTAGCAAAGCTTAGAGTCAGATTTTAGAACATACACCTATTTGGTAGGACAAGATCATCCTGATTTCATGCTACACAAGGTGAGCAATGAGCAAGTCTCTGCCAAAGCGTAAGCCTGGGCTAGCCTAAACAGTCATATGACAAGGSTTAGACTGAGCTGCTGGAGTGTTTTAGGCAAGAGTATCAAATAAGGGGAAGGAGAGGTGCATGATACCAACCTGCTGGTTTTCCTGGTCACTTCTGCTCCCATTCTCCATGATCCGGATGGCAATGCCCCTTCCCARCTCATCTGTGCTCTTTCAAGTGCTCCTTTGTCCCTTAGGAATCCTTCCCGCAATAGTCTAATCTGGCTGAGCTGAACTGAAACGTAAGCTCTATTCCCCTGCTGGAGGATAAGAACAAGGCACAATTTCCCCTTCATTTGGTGCACTTGCCAGGCTCCAGACYGTGACTCGCGGAACGGAGGCGGATGCTCCCCCAAGCGCTGAGGGCCAGGCCAGGAGACAGGCCCGGCTCCACGCTTGTTCCTCAGCCAGAGCAGCTGAATCAGCATGGCCGTCGAAGCAGTGATTTATCACTGGCTTGGAAATTACTGTAGCCCTCAAATAAGACTAAAAATGAAGGCAATTGTGACTGTGTTTCTGAACTAATGCTTCCCAAATTCCTCCTGCAGCAGTTACTGCTTGCTCAGGGGCTTCGCTCAAAATTTCACAGTCTAACCAAATTTGTGGCAAGTCTTCTGGGTTATTCTCATTTTTCTTTCTTAGATTTCATGACAATGTGAAAACATCGTATAGGGATCACTGCTGTCTGCACTCTTCAAGTATTTATTCTCCAGTGCCCCGTTAGCCGAACTCTCAGAACAACATTCCCTGCACGACCTCCTCCCAGCTCGGCCCCAGCCTGAGCCACACAGCCTGCGCCTCAGCTTCCTCCAAAGCCTTCCTGTCACAGAAACCCAGAACCAAAACCAGCTGTCCAGCCTCATACACCACCATTATTTCCCATTCCTTGTAGCATACTTCCAGTGCTCAGTCAGCTTTCTCTAATTTGGTTTCTAAATGTCATAGTTAACTGTCATTTAGTTTGCTGATGGCCGTCAGCTCAGTCCTTTGCTAGCCTTATTTGCCAGGTTTCTCCCGCCCTCTAAATATCCAAGGTTCAGTTCACTTTCCTTCTTCCCTCACAAATCACTGAGATCTTTCCTGTCCAAAAATATTCATGCCATGAAATTCACCCCTGTGACAGTGTGTCCTAGGCATTTAATCATGGTAGGAGTCAGGAATACCAAAGTGTCAATCAGTTAACCTTTGGACATTTCAGTGAATTAATCTGCAGAAAAGATGGGTTATAAACACAACAGTCTTCCAGATGAGGCCATCCTGGAGATGACAATTATTGTCACTTATTGGGCTATCGTGGGTCTATGAGCAGCTGCCTGAGCACTGAGGACTTCCCCAGAAGTCACATCACATCACCAAAGGGACAGGATTGCAAAAGTTTTAAGTGCCAAGCTAGAAAACTGGAATAGCTGGTTGTGTCCAGAGAGGAGGAAATTGCTCTCTGCCTTGGACTTAAGTCTGTTTGTGCTTTGACTAAGGCAATTTTTAGAGGATGTAAAGCAAACAGATTTTTGATGGCAACAGACCTATGTGGCCTTGAATGGGCAGAATACTCTTCTCTTAAACTAGAGAAAGAATTCCTGTAGCCAAATAATTCCAGCTTTAGTTTAACCTTTGCTYTAGAGATGAAATCTTGTGCTACAGAAGACATGAGATTTTAAGGAGACTTTCAAATGTAAAGATAATTATTGGAAGTCATTCCTGAAACAATACAGACTAATTTCTGTGCTGGAAAGCCATGAGAACCAAGGAAGGGGCAGAGGGAAGGGCAGAACTCCAGAACAAAACCTGGCTGAGGTGATAGAGGTACACTCAGTCCTGCCTCCTTTGGACTAGAGGTGATCTAATAGAGCTTCAGCCTTACCACTTCCAGGACTGGCAATTTGAAGTTATTTCAATCAGCTTGACATTATTTCACACCAATCTAAAGAGTCCTGCAAGTAGAACAATGGAAAAGAGCAGAAATACAGAAAGGAGCAACTAAACTATAACCTCACATTGTCATCTGGTGTCATTTGTTACAGTCCTGGAATAGAAAAGCTTTACACGCAGATAGAGGCTTTACACAGAGTACAAGAGATAACACAGGATAGAGAAGAATGGGATTCACYGGATCTGAGCTACTCATTCCAAGATAACAGAGGTGGCAACTATTCCAAAGAGAGCAGGATAAGTAATGTTCGACTGAGTGGTGCAACTTCAGATAACACACTATTAAAGGAGAAACCATTACRTTTCAAAAAATAGCCATTTAACTCTATGACAAGAATAGTGACAAACATCCCTTGCAAATGCCCTTCAAGGACGCCTTTCTTCCATATAACATCTTSCTAAAATCTATTTCATATTTTGGATATGAGAATTCACACTCTCATATTAGTTTATTTTCATATCAATATATTTGATCTGAGAGGTTCTCTTCTTCCTTAACTGTGAAAAAGGACAAAAAAAGCTAAGGAGAAAATAAAGCACATGTGTACACATTGGCCAACAACTGGGAGAAGTAGTTTACAGCTTGAGAAAAAGACGTGGCTGGTTTGGCCCTCCCTATGTTATGGGAATATCAATCCATACTATGGATGCTCACACGCATGAAAAATTAAAGGCAAGCAGTAATAATTTAATAGGACAAAGAGAGCTAGTAGCTGGTCAGTCCACTGGGTATCAGGAGCCTGGGTTTCATTTCTCAGTTCTGCTGCTGAACATTGGAGGAGACAGCTGCACAAGTTTCCTCCACCAGGCCCTTTTCTGTGCACTCTAACCACAACAGATATTAAAACATGAAAAAAAGACCCACTCTTCAGTCTTCAGAGGCAATTACCCATTTCCTAGGACATTTTGGCAAGGCAGTAGAGTAAATCTATCAGCCTGTTTTCATAGACAAACCTTTTCCTAGTCAGAATTGATCGTTCTTTTTCAGTCTGGATGCTGCAAAAGCAGCTCTGTGCTGACCAGACTGGGACCCTTCATCCTCTGGCTCTGAACCCGGCGAGATCAGGATCACTGGGGTAAGGTACTAACAGGCATAAGAGAGAACATTATCCTGTAATTTACCACCTTTCCCAATAGCTTCAATAGCATCTTTATGTTATACAGCACTTGCAGAAACAAGACTAATATTCACTTTTCATGAAGTCCATTCCTTGTCCTTAAATACCAGACCAGAAAGACTTCCAAAGGCTTTCTCACTACATTGCCATTGAAAACACCATAGTTTCCAATTTTCTATATGCTGCTTAATTTTATGCAGTGTCAGTCACATCACATTATGTCATTTTATATAGTAGGTCAGCAGGAACTGCCATGTTCAGAGGTATCTGGTCTTTTGCCAGATCATTTGGCACATCTCACATTCTCATCAATTTGAATTACTTGTAGATCATTTCAGAAGAGAGAGATAATTATTGGCCACCATTCAGAAAATGGTAGATAGTCTACTGAGTGCTTTGCTGGCCTCCTCATCCTTCCATAAACTGCAAGATKGACAGATTTCCTTAGAACAATATAAATACGTGCCAGATTAATATACGTGGAGTTCCAGCTTACACTTACCACCTTACTGTTACATGCTGCAGTTCAGTCCTTCATTGTAGAGTTTCTTACAGGCAGCTCAAAGTCAGAACAACCAGGAGCAGCAGATTCTGACCCTGAAATTGAGATTATTTAATACATGTTAGTTGGTTCAAGTAGTCCTTCAGTGCTGTCTGGAGCATGTGTACATCTTCCACTCTTTAAGATATTTACTTCTTACAGAAATTCTAGCCAACTGTAATGATTAAAACACATTCTTTAGATCCAAATAGTAGCTTTCCTATTCCTTTATAATTATTCATGCCTATTAGGCATGCCACTTTAACGCACTACATGTAGGAACATAATAGCTAAGCACGGCAAAGCTTGTAGTAAGGCCCTAGCTACACGAACAAGGTAACTTTCAGAAAAGCAAGGACTAGTGAAAGCAACAAAAAATTAGAGTCTAAATGCCATGTACCACAACACCGGTGAGTCCTGGGTTAATTCCAGGGGATGACAGAGCTGTGTAGAAAACTCTGTTGCAAAACAAAGGGAGCCTCTATGCACCGTTACCTTCCACAGGGACCTGCAGAGGGAATTGTCAAATGAGTACAGCTCAGCAAGAAAGCTTGTGAAATAGATGGAAAAAGCATTTGTTTTAAAACAAAGAATTTAGGGCTGTGGTCTAGTGCAAGAAGGCTTCCACACACAGGGAAAATACTGCAAAGCAGCGTAAGTTTAGAAGAAAACCAGAGGCTAAGAAGTTGTAGTGAGTTCACAGTGAGAAAAACCCTGTGGGCCAAGCAAATAGACCGAGAATTGAAGGCTGATGGATTTGACAGACTAAGTGTTTGGGGACAAGCAGAGAGCTTGCATTTAACCTAGGGATGCCTTTAGGCTCGTCAAGRGGTAGCCAGGGAGACCCTGGAATGTCAACACACTAAAGCCCTGATGTGAAATGCAAACTTTTAAATTCTGCGAGTAGGAGACAATGAGGGACAAGGCAAGACACAGAGCAGGAAGCCTGACATTTATATGGGCTCTTCTGCAGAGCTACTTTCACCTGAGCCTGACTTCTTTTCCTAATTTTAAAGCCTTCATTTCAGTAAATCACCAAAAAAGGGGGAAAAAAAAAAGAAAACAACAACAACCACCTAAGTCCAAGCTGAAAACTGTTCACCAAATTAAAAGCCCAAGTGAAGCAGCTCTGGAAGGGGCAATCAGGGCATCTGCCTCTGCCAGGCCCTGCCATGGGAGGCCTGTSCTGGCTCCCACCTGCAGGTTCCTCCCTTGCACCAGGGCAGGGCAGCAGCTTGAGGCTGAATTCACATCTTCCTCCAAACGGCAAAATTTATTTCAATCAGCAGATTTAAATCAGCATAAAAATGSCATTAAAATGTTGCAATGCAGCTATAAGTTAGTAAAAACTAAATCTATTTTCTACTTACCATTTTTCTAAGCCTCAGATCATCAAATTGAACAAGTTTGAAAGCAAACTCAAAAACCACATGGCCTCRTGGACCATTTTGCTGGTGCATTTAAGTTATGAATAATGACAGGGAACAAGTCCTAAAGCAGAGGAGGACACCAGGTTGTTAAAGAAAACAAGGCCGTGAAGCTGGTTTAGCAGCGCACAGGAGATTCTGAGCCAGCCCAAAGCAAGTCAGAATTCCATCCAGGGGGAGAGATACAGTACCAAAGACTAACAATTAGAAATTCTGTCTTGGAGAAATGGTCAGGAAGTCAATTGCAACRCTTATGAGTGATAGATGTAATAAGCTTTGGTAATACAGTTCAAAACTGTATGAAAAAAAAACAAATTCTCAAACAAAAAATATTAGAGAATTAGAAAATAAGATTAGGGAATGGCAAACAATTCAGTTTCCAGAAATGAAACATTAACAACAAGCAAATGCAGCTTAAAGTGCAAGAGCCATGAGCACGTTGATGATAACATTTGCCTCGCTAAGCAGGGTTGCAYGGAACAGCTAGATCCATGTAAAAGAAGAGAAATCAAAAAATCTTCCTCACGAAAATTTCTGAGACTTTAAAAATATAATCACAAATTATATAAGATTTTGATTCTTCATTATTTTCAGATGATTTATTTCATTGAGGTTAAAATGTTCCCACTGCAATTTCAGYGCTCTATTTTGGGAGGATTTAAAAAAAAGAAAGAAAGAAAGAAAAATTCAAGTCAGATAATTTCTCATTATCTCTCATTCATCTTTTTAATTTCAAAGGGGATTCAAATTTCATTAAAGTAATGTTCCCAGTAGAATACTATCTCATCAGGGCAGCCTTCAGCTAGTTTTGTTGCACAATTAACCTATTTCCTTTCATCTGAATTGTTTTTTTGTTAAGAAAGGTAAAAGAGAAAGAAAGAAACAATAGAGCACACAAGAGAATCAAAATTGGGTTCAAAATTGCACCAATTTGCTGCCTTTCTTAAGCTGTGAAATGAGATCCCAGCAAGAACAAAGAAAACAGAAAAAACACCATCCAGGGATGCGTGGGCACAGGCTGGGTTGGATGGGAGGCAGCAGGACCACCGCCACGCGCTGCTCCTGAACAGCAAAGATCCTCTTTTCCCCACTCGGAGAGAGAGGCTTCCTGTCTTTGGAGGAGACAAACGTTTCAAAATGACTCACGCGTTTTGACAGGGTATCGCATAAACAGGACTAACTAGCAAAAAAAGTATTCGTCAAAGCATACAAATACACCGCACGAGACGTAAACCTTATAGGAGCAACTGGTTTAGGGTTTATTTACAAACAAAACCCCTCGTCTAAACAGTTAGGCAAATGATCCTTTCTGAAAGCAAAACGCTTTTATTCTACTCCATTTTGTGAATTTTAAATACAAATCACTCTGTTTAGGATGTAATGGTTAAATTTTTTTTTTCCTCTGTTTCACTGTAAATTGAACAATGGCATATGTCTAAAGGCGCGAGGCCTGCCCGGGAGGAGGTCACCATGCACACAGAAAAGACCCCGAGGGAGATGCTGAGAAGGGGGCTCATCCATAAAACACGTAGGAAGTGAAGCCCATGGAGACCAAAGGACTTCCCTCCACTTAAGTGCCAAGGTAAGGAGCCACGTTTTCACAAGTGCTCTGTGCTCAGCAGCCTGCAACACTCTTGTATGAGCTACTCCTAAATAGAGCTGCCTAGCAGGAATCCCTGTATCCAAGAATCATTCTGGTCCTCAAACCACAACACTGGTTCTGGCCACAGCTACAGACAGATTTTAGCCAAAGTCCCCACTCCTGCCACAACACAGCAGGTGATTTTACAGAAACACGTATCCTGAGCAGGGTAAATGGAAATAATTTTGTGGAAGAAGGTACCGCACTGCTGAACTTGCTTTAAGTATGCTGGAATCCAATTAACACGTTTCCCAATACGGTTCAAGTGTCATTGAGGTTGTTTGAGTTCTCTGCATGGTTAAAACCAGCTGTACTACTTGCACAAAAGGTTCCAAGTTTTATTGACATCCCTCACTTAATACCACTAAAACTTTTTTTTTGTTATGAAATACTTTTTCAATTCTAATTCAGCTTGCCCTACTTGTTAAATGATTTCTGCCACATTTTTGTTAACAAAATCCCCAAGGCAAATAAAAATTGACTCCACGTGTTCAGCTTCCATGTGAATAAATTGAATTCAAACCATTAGTTCAGAGAAGGTGCAACACAGCGGGGGCAGAGGAATCCCAGGGGCTCTCCAAGTGGCAGGTTTATCTTATTTGTGCATCCGGTGCCACAGTGAAGGAGCTCTAGAACTCTGGAGTGATAAATCAAAACTCACCGGGATAAGATAGAACTGATGTAACTTGCAAAACTATAAGAAACTAAATATTAGCTGAGGATTCTATTTTTTAAGAATGTAAGGATGCAATTATTCTATTTTACTTAAATCTATTTGGGTCAGATGGCTAAAGGGAAACAACCAAGCAAAACCAAATGCACATAAAATGCTTTCTGCAAGGTACATGACTCCAAATTTAACACTGAATAAATATGCTAGGTYAGTTACAGCTTTCGTGTGACAACTGCTATTAATAACTGTCTATGCATGCCAATTCAAAGACACAAGGTATATTATTAGAAAAATGTAAAAAGATGATTAATGGGGATAAAAGTAATTACTTTATTACACAATATATTTAGAGAATAATCTCAGTTTAGGGATAATCTAAGAAAACCTTTACCATATTATAGCAAGTAAACTTAGAAAAATGTTTACAAGGCAATCATTGAATCATATTTGCTCAGCAAGTCCATACCAAACAAGAACACTTATTTCCAAACCCTTGGTTCAAAAAAAAAAAATGAATAAAGAAAAAAAGAAGTATCATCTACCTGGAATTAGGATAGAAACCTGGTCTCAATGTTTCATCAACAAAACTGTCTCCAAAACTCATATTTGCATCAACTGAACTGTTCCATTTCAACACAACACAGATTTTATAAATTTATATTTTTAAACTCAYTTTAACTGTAAAAACATGCATTTTAAGTAACCTAAAAACTATATCATGAAAAATTTAGGAAAAGCAGCCTCACACAAGCGTAATGAAAAAATTTTCTCCAAAATTCCCAGCCCCTCTACTCTTTAACTTGGAACCAGTGAACTAAACACAATGGTGCAACTCTGCACTTTGAAAAAAATAGTCTTTTTTTTAATACTAATACACTATTAATACTTCATTTGGGTTCTGCTTCTCATTTCTACAGTGGCTTGGGGACAGGATGATTTAAATTAGTAAATGAATTTTAAAAACGAAACTAAATCTAACCCATGTTTCATTCCAGGCAATGTTCCCGAGTTCACTGACTGTTCTCCATCCAAAGATGGAGACAGAACACATATGTTGAAGCAGAAGCATCCTTTCACTGCAGAATCATTTSGACTAACGTGACCTTCCTGCCAGCAAGTAAATACGTGCTCATTGTTACCTCAAGCCTGATCCTCCCTCCTGATTACCAGGTAGCTCAGCAGGCCATCACAAGAGCCTAAGCAAGGAGGCAGGATTAAGAGATAGGTGCTGCCCTGGAGGCACCACTCAGATCTGCATCTAGTATTAGTGACCCAAGAAAGATTACCTTAATAAATAAATCCTGGTCTTGCCGGCTACTTGGCTGCTGAATGYACCCTAGAAGAGATGCATCGACAGATGCAAGTTGTTGGCCAATAAACAGACATCAGCAGTGAGGTTTCACTTGAATGCAGCTGTGCTAGCTCATTTACACTCCAAAAGCAATCAGGTGATTGCTTCCTTCCTTAAGCCAAAGGCACATTTTTTTTGAAGGGGGAGAGGAGGAGAAAAGGGAAGATCCAAAGAACCAAACTAAACCACCACCTCCTTGTCCTTAATTGCACTGAACACTTCCCCAACGAGGACAGTCACTGACCACAGTGCCAAGGGAATCGACCCTACTGCTGATTACATGGTCCATCAAAGACCTGATATTCTATTAATGTGTTCTTCTTGAGAGTAGGGAAGTGGACAAATGATTAGGCAGGTGATGCCATCATTGTTTAATCACCAGAAATGTGAATTACTGCTTATCTGCTTGTGGATA